GCTGGCCTCGAACTCACAGAGATCCGCCTGCCTCTGTCTCCCGAGTGCTGGGATTAAAGGCGTGCGCCACCATCGCCCGGCTTCAGCTCTTGACTTCTTTGTTTTAGCCCCTGGTACACTAACAGACAGCCTGAAATACTTCAACTTCAGAATCTTGATCAATACTTTTCTTGTAGGCCCCCCCATCTGCAGCAGGGATTCATGTCCTAAGTTCCCTGAATGGGCCTCAGTAGGTGGGTGGTTTTTCTCAATAGTAGGTGAGAAAAATGAGGCAAGTGCATACCCCTCACAATCCAATCCCCTGGGAAGAGGAGCCACAGTGTCTCAAAGATTAGTGGCCAAGAAAGCCTGATTGTGAGGCTGGAAAGATGTCTTTAAGAATACTGGCTTCTCTGCCAGGATCCAGGATAGATTCCCAGCTGCCCATGGTGGCTCACAACGGCCTGTAACTTCACTTCCAGGGGATGTGATGCTCTCTTCTGGCCTCCACAGGCCTGAGTCACATATGCGGTACGCAGACATACATGCAGGCAAAAACAAACCTACCAAACACAATGTACCCCAAGAAAATTGAATTCCCAAGGAATCTCACACTGGAGTGAGAAAAAGACTAAAGCCTGGGAGCCAGACAGGAAACTTGTCTCGAAGGAGACTAAGCAGACGATGATGGACGCCTCTGGCCTGCTACTTGAGGCTAAACCCCATGGACTTGTCTGTGTGTGTGTCTGGGGGTGGTGGTACCACCGAACGAACCCCTTTGCGACCACACCGAATAATAATCTTTTTGTTTTTCTATTTACTATGTCTATCTGGCCAAACCTGGCTTTCTGAGTTATCCTTAATAGCTCCCGTAACAGACAAGGAACTGGTGGCGCGCTTTAGAGATGACCAGCATTCCCTAAATGGGAAAGAAAACCAGGGGAGGAATTCTGAGGAACTTCACTGGTGGAGGCAAGGAGTGTCATTTCAGAACAAGGGTCGCTGGACGACCGCTACCGACAGGATGCTACTCGCGATCTGCCAGGAAAGGCAGCTTTACTTGACCAACTTAACTCACAATTCTTGGGGAAAAAAAAAACGACTACAGCCTCCCAATACCGATGCTAAAGCGATTTGCCCCAAGCCACGCCGCTAAGGGGTGGACCCGTGCAGGATACGAAGCCAGGCCTGACGTGAAGAATCATCATCCACTAACTACACGCCAGAAATCACGCTGGAAAGGACACGGGGGCGTGGAGGGTGGCGGCCAACGAGCGGAACACGAGTGGGAGGGAGCACATGGAGAACACGAGCGACTCCGAGAGCGGGAAGTCATTTTGTCGGAGGAGGGCGGCGGGAGATGGGAGGAGAGGGGGGGGGAAAAAAAAAGCCAGAGAAGGCGCTTCCCAAACGAAAAGGCGACTGGAAGGCACGAGGGGACCGAGTCACGGCGGGACGGAGCTGGGCAACACTGGCCGGCGTGGGGGGAGAGGGGGCGGAGGGACCCACCGCCTCCCTGAACTCACTGAGCACGAGCACTGGACGGTGGCCCATCATGGCGGCACGATGCAGAGCCCAGCACCCAGAGCTGGGGGGACCGGCAGAACCTTCTGGAGAGAGGAGCCGCGGAGAAAACGCTACCTCCTCGGCACTGACACAGAAACCTGCTGTCCTCTAAAGTGCCGCCAATCACTAGCCCCATTTCGTTGATTGGCACGAACACAGACCAATCGACAGTGCTAGCCCCGCCCCCTACGCAAGAAAGGTAAGGCAAGTTAGATGGAGAGGGCACGACGAGGGGGCCTGGGAGACGCAGGCGCCTGCGCACTAGTGTGGCCGCTCCCGGCCGCGTGCGGACAGAATGTCTGCGCACGCGCCGAGGCCTGGGGCGGGAGCGGGGAGGGGGTGGTGGTGGAGGAGGAAGCGCTGGCTCACTACAGCGCATGCGTACCAACTACAGGGTGGGTGCTGGGGTGGAGGCTTTGGATTAGTGCTGCAGGTGAGGTCATGAAACTTATTTTGTTCATCGCTTCTGGCCCGACCGTGAAGGTCAAGAAAGGCACGACAGTTTGCCACTTTTCATTCCGGCTTTAGCAACCGGGAGGCACAGAGGTTCGGGGATGGATAGCGGCCGTGGCCGGAAGGGTTGAGGCGGGGAGGGGTTGAGGAAGTGGAAGTTGTTGTCTTACGGGGCGGGGCGGCAACGGCCCTTTCGGCCCCCGAGCACTCTGGGAGTTGTGGTTTCCCTCCTCTAAGACCCGCTGTTTTTCTTAAAAAGAAAAGAAAAGTCCTGTCTTTTTAGATGTACTCATTTTTTAGTTTTTTTTGCGTATGATTGTTTTGCTTACACGTATGTATGTGCACATATGATGCCTGGTCCACGAGGAGGTAAGAAGAGAGTCCGATCCCCTGGAACTAGATTTAGGATGGTTGTGAACTGCCCGGTGGGTGCTGGTAACTGAACCCAAGTCCTCTTCAGCGCCTGCTAGTGCTCTTAGCTGCTGAGTTATCTCGCCAGTCCTAAATTATTTTTTTTTTAACTTCTTAGAAAAATACTTTTCATTTTAGGCATTAAGACGGAATGAAGGGCCGGGCAGTGGTGGTGCGCACCTTTAATCCCAGCACTCGGGAGGCAGAGGCAGGCGGATCTCTGTGAGTTCGAGGCCAGCCTGGGCTAGAGAGTGAGTTCCAGGACAGGCTCCAAAGCTACACAGAGAAACCCTGTCTCAAAAAAAAACCAGAAAAACAAAAAACAAAACAAAACAAAAAACCCGGAATGAGGGAGGATCGCTTACATTTCCCCCGAATAGCCTACCTTATGTTTCTTGTAGTGTTTTGAGCCTTTTTTTTTTTCACCACTCACCCTGACCACCCATCTTCTAACTCGTTAGAGACAAAGGGGAGGGAGCTAGAGTCCCATGGTTGGCCTGGAACTCCCCATGGAGCCCTGGCTGACCTCAAATTGGAGACAACCCTCTTGCCAGAGCACCCCACATGGGGTGGGTGGGTGGGGGGAAAGACTCTAGAAGGTAAACACTTAGAAGATTCATGATGTGTTTGTGATAGATTTACAGTTTGGATTTGGTATGTTCTGTCTTCAATGAAAAACAACACAAATTAGTCCGCTGAAGGGAACTGTCAAAAATGATCAAGTTAAGCACAATTATTTGCCTGATGTGGTAGCACACTCCTGTAATGAACACCTGAGGCTGAGTCAGGACCACCGCGATATTGATGGCTTCAGTTACCCTGAGGACATACATCCAGCAGTGGTTAAGAGGGTATACTGCTCTTTCAGAGAACCTCAGTTCAGTTCCCAGCACTGATGTCTGGCTGCTCAGAGCCACCTGTAACTCCAGCTCACGTGTGCACATCCACACGTGCATGTAACTAAAGATAAATTTTTTAAAAAATCAGCCACCCGTATTAACTATGAGACGGTGTACACTATGTTTTTTAAGATTTATTTTATTATGTACACAGTGTTCTGCCTGCATGAATGCTTACACACCAGAAGAGGGCGCCATGTAGTTGCTGGGAATTGAACTCTGGAAGAATAGCCAACTCTCTTAACCTTTAAGCCATCTCTCCAGCCCCAAGATGGTATACACTATTAGACTTCTGCCTCCCAAAATTAGAGCAGCTGTAGCCAATTTGAATCTGCTGTGTCGAGCTTAGGAAACAACACTTGTCTGACCATGTGATGCTATGATTCTTTTCCCAGGCACGATACCTGTTGCTGTTGAGATGGAGCAGCACACTAGTAATCCGACTAAGGACAAAGGTGTGTCCTAGGCCCACGCCCCTCTCAGAAGCCAGCTCTCTCTATCCGCGTGTGCAGAAAGGACTCGGTGTCGTGTATGCCTTGTCTGTTACTTGGTTGTGTGGAAAGGACTTGTGGGGGTTTTTGGGTGAAGGAGGAGACAGGTCTCACTTCACTACCGTAGCTGACTTGGAACTCACCATATAGCCTGGTCTGTCCTTAAATCTGAGACAACTCTTTTTCCAGAGCACCCCACATGCCAACTGCTGGGATTGCAGGCATGACCCACTGTATCCAGCTGTTTTGTTTGTTTGTTTGTTTGTTGAGACAGGGATTCTCTGTAGTCCTGGCTGTTCTGGAACTCACTCTGTGGTCCAGGCTGGCCTTGAACTCACAGACACCCATCCACCTGCCTCTGCCTCCCGAGTGTTGGGATTAAAGGTGTGCGCCACCACCACCACTACCCCGCATTCTTTTCTTTTTTGAGAATCTTGCTATTACTGTCTAACCTGGCCTCCTCCAACTTGCAGTAGCCCTGCCACAGCCTGCCAGCTGCTGAGACGATTGGCATGGTCTGCACCTGGCTTTGGTGAGTTCTTTTTCTAGTGTTTCTAGAGGAGCAGTAAGTAGAGACCTTTGCAGCCCAGGGACCCAGGTGTAATCCCAGCACTGCCATGTGAGAGCTGTGCAGTCCTGACCAAATTGTCCTGACATGGGATTCCTCAAGTACAATGCTGCTCATACTCCCTGCTTCTTAGGTCACTGTGAAAGATAGCAGAGGCCCGGGGAGATGGCTCAGTGGACACAGTCCCTGCTCTGCAAACGTGAGGACCCGCGTTTGGATCCCCATAAGCCATAGAAAAAGCCAGGTGTGGTGGCATATGTTTGTAGCTGCAGGACTTGTGGAGATGAAATACATAGAGTACATAGGATCCCTGGAGAGACTCTGTCTCAGAAAAATAAAGTAAGGATGGGTGTGGTGGCCAATGGACCGTAATCCCAGCACTCAGGAAGCAGATACAGATGCATCCCTGTGGCTTTTGTGGCCAAGCTGGTCTACATGGTGAGTTCCAGGACACTCAGGGCTACATAGAAAGACCCTGCCCCACCAAAAAATACTAAAAAAATAAAGTGGAGGGGACTGGAGAGATGGCTCAGCAGTTAAGAGCACTGGTTGCTCTTCCAGAGAACACAGGCTGAATTCCCATCACTCACATGACAGCTCACAACTGTCTGTAAACTCCAGTTCCAGAGGATCCAATGCCCTCATCTGACCTCCAAGGACAACACATGTGCATGCAGGCAAAGCACCCATACACATAAAATTAAAAAAAAATAAGTGGAAAGCAATTGAGGAAGATACCTGATGTAGACCTCTGGCTTCTACACACATGTACATACACAAACACACACAAAAGAAATATGTATGTGTGCATGTGTATGATACATACACATGTATTAGAGGCTAGACATGGTGACCTTCCCCTATAAACCCAGCCCTCAGAAGTCTGAAGATTGCTGCAAAATCCAGGGCAGCCTGAGTTTCATAGCCCTGTCTCAAAAAAGCAGTGTGTATGTGTGTGTGTGTGTGTGTGTGTGTGTGTGTGTGTGTGTGTGTGTGTTGGTGGTGGTGGTGGTGCATACCTGTAGTCCCAGCACGTGAGAAGCAGAGGCAAGAGGATGGTCACAAGTTCAAAGCCTGCCTAGGACACGAAGTGAGTTCCAGGCCAGCCAGGACTATATCTCCATACCCTGTGTATGAGAGATGGCTCAACAGTTAAGAACACTTAACTGCTCTCCCAGAGGCCCGGCATTGAGGATCCAACACCCACATGGTAGCTGACAGTGGTCTGTAATTCCAGGTCCAGGGGATCTGACCCTCTCCTTTGACCTCCAAGGGCACCAGGATTGATATATTACACATGCATATATTCAGGCGAAACACTCAGAGACATAAAAAAAATAATAAAAGATTTTATTTTTATTTTTTAAAAGAGCAGTAAGCCGTGTGGTGGTTGTGGTGCATGCCTTTAATCCTAGCACTTGGGAGGCAGAGGCAAGCGGATCTCTGTGAGTTCAAGGCCAGCTTGGTCTACAGAATGAGTTCCAGGACAGGCTCCAAAGCCTCACAGAGAAACCCTGTCTTGAAAATAAACATAAATAAATAGAGCAGCTGACAGAGCAGAGCAGACTTCCATTTTATCGATCAGTGACATGTAGACATTGCCAAGCTTGGTATGCATATGTGAAAATGACTTACAGGCAGTTTCTTCTGTGGCACTTTGAAAAATGGACAAGAAGAAGGCATCTTTCTTGGCAGATGTGTGGCACACACCTGTAATCCTGGCACTTGGGCAGTGAAGGCAAGAGGGTTAAAGAATACAAGGTCAGCTGCATGAGACCCTGCCTCCAAAAGGGGAAAAAAATCTTTCCTACAACACTCGTCACACCTCTGCCCCAGGATTGTCTCATAACAAGAGGACTCTTCTTTATCCTTTGACCCTGTCCGAGGTAATCATTCAGATCATTAGCTCCACTGGCACATTGTAGACACTTAGCGATCTTATACCTGTATAAATAAGTTATTAATTTTCCTGTCCTTTCTCCCCTCAGTGCTGGGGAAAACCCAGGGTCTTCCACAGGTTAGGCAAAAGCTCTGCCGCTGAGCTGAACTGCCAGCCGTATCCTTTCTTGATCTTTTTACACTAGATACATGTTATTCATGTGCACAGTCCAGAGCTAGTGAGTAAGTGCGTGCCACTGTGTGTGTGTGTGCGCGTGTCAGAGGCCAGCTTGCCAGAGTTGGTTCTCTCCCACCGTGCGGGTTCTGGAGATTGAACCCACGTTCTCAGGCGTGGTTCCAGGAGCTTCTACCCTCTGAGCCATCTTGCCATTCCCTCTTCTTCCTTCTTTTTCAGAGAGGGTCTCAGTCAGTAGCGTTGGCTTTGCAAGCCCCATTCTCAACCAGGCTGCTCTTGCTTCCTCGACGTCCTCTTCCCTCCACAGTCTCGTCACCTGAACTCAAAATGCAGCCAGGGGTTCAAGGAACTCCGACCCCCTCTCCCGCCTCCCGAACACTGGGATTGCATGCATATGCCGCTTTACCTATCTTATGTGGTTCTGGGGATCAAACCCAGGGCATTGTGCATGCTAGGCAAGCGACCCCTACCTCCATCCAGTCTCTCCTGGTCCCAGCTTTTCTGCTCGCCATTCATGGCTCTTCTCTCCTCTGTTACCTTTTCATTCTTCAGATGCTTGAGAAATTACTCGGAGGTCCAATTTTCTTTCTTTTTTGCTATAGGGAGCTAACTTATTTTTCTTTTTTTCTTTTCTTTCTTTCTTGACGGGGAGGAGGGGGGTTTCAAGACAGGGTTTCTCTGTGTAGTCCTGGTTGTTCTGGAACTCATTATGTAGACCAGGCTGGCCTTAAACTCAGAGAACCACTGCCTCTGCCTTCCAAGTACTGGGATTAAAGGCGTGTGCTGCTGCTGCTGCTGCCGCCACTGGCTTTTTTTTTTTTTTTTATAGCTTCTTTTTCCCTTTTAGTGGCTGGCTAACAATCTGACCTTCCATCCAAACTTAGTGCCACCCCTTGTTCTTATAGGCAGATCTGTTTGATTTCCTACTTTCACCTCAGAACCTTTAGTTCATCTAAAATGTGGTTAGGATTAAATGACAGAACCCCAACTCGAGCTGCCTTGAACACAGAAGGTAATTTAGGGGCTTGTGCAGGTGGGTTACAAGAGCTTGAGCGCTTCAGAAGCCGGAGGGCTGGGACTGGAACTGGGGTTCCTGCCTGTTGGAATCTGTTCATCCGTCTGTCTGTCCTCCTCCTTTCTTGCTGCTGGTCTTGCTTGTACCCACTTCTCATGGTGTACTGGCCAAATACAGTAGCCTCCATTAGGCCCAACTTTATGTCCTCCCAGCACAGCAACTAAAGAAAGTGGGTTTTCTTTCTTTTTTTTTTCTTTTTCTTTCTTTTTTTTTTGCCTTTGCTTGGTTTTTTTTTTTTTTGAGACAGTCTTACTATGTAGACCAGGTTAGCCCAGAACTTGCAATCCTCTAGTCTGCCTTCCAAGTATTTCGATTGTAGGTGGGCATGCTACTGTACAGTCTAGCTAAGAAGGATTGGACACACATCATTGTCCATTTGTTGGTCCTGTGACATGACTGTGGCCCAACTCCTTTTTTTTCCTTTTTTGTTTTTTTCGAGACAGGGTTTCTCTGTGTAGTTTTGGAGATCTGCCTGGCTCTGCCTCCTGAGTGCTGGGACTAAAGTCGTGAGTGTGCCACCACTGCCGAGCCCCACCTACTTGTCATGCGCTTACCACCTTGTTATCGCAGTTGCTGAGAGAGTGAGGTGTTGGCCACTGTCCTTTGCTGGGCCTTGGGCCTATTTTTAGTGTCAAGAAGCTGGAGTGCTGATTCACCAGTACAACTAGGATCTGGGGAAAGAATAATTTCCCAGAGTGACAATTACTCAGTAGATAAGAAGGACAAATGTCTGTGGTGGAACATTAGGAGTTCCTCAAAGTCAGCTTTTCCTTTTTTTTTTTTTTTTTTTTTTTTTAAAGATTTATTTATTTATTTATTATGTATACAGCATGTATGACTGCAGGCCAGAAGAGGGCACCAGATCTCGTTATAGATGGTTGTGAGCCACCATGTGGTTGCTGGGAATTGAACTCAGGACCTCTGGAAGAGCAGTCAGTGCTCTTAACCTCTGAGCCATCTCTCCAGGGCCCCAGCTTTTCCTTTTGATTTGACTATGTTTGCCAAAGATAGCATAGTGACCAGTCTTAGAATCTCTTCTAGAGCCAGATATGGCTTACTCTTAGAATTCTAGCACTTGGGAGGCTGAGGCAGGAAGACTGTCCTGAGTTCAAAGGTACCACAGGGTACATAGAAAGTACCAAGCTTGGTTACATAGCAAGACTGTCTCAGAAAAGCCAAAAACTTTAACATATGCAACTCTTTGTATTTAATATGTATAATGAAAAGGACAATTTAATCTTTTTTTTTTTTTTTTTTTTTGAGACAGGGTCTCACTATGTAGTCTTGGCTGGCCTGGAAGGGTCTCACCATGTAACCTTGGCTGGCCTGGAACTTGCTATGTAGATCACCTGGAGATGGAATTACAGGTGGTTGTGAGCTGCCTGAAGTGGTTCTGGGAGCCCAACTCAGGTCCTCGGAAGAGCAGCATGCTCTCTGAACTGCTGAGCTGTGTCTCCAGTCCTTGAAATATGATTTTTAAGTGTTAGCAATCAATTCCTATTCTTCTTTAGACAGGGTCTCAGTATATGGTCCTGGCTGGCCTAGAACTCGATATGTAGACCAGGCTGGGACATGTGCCTCTTCTTCTTAGTGCTGGGAAGGGCTCCAGTGCTCAGAGAGCCCTGCTGGCCTCTGCCTCCTGGATGTTAGGATTAAAGGCGTGAGCAAAAAGCTCGGTTTACTCAACTTTCTAACCTTAAAGGTTGAGGGGCTATTATGTTAAGAGAAAGCTTAAACATCTCGGATTTGGTTGCTCAGAGGCTTCTCTGGCCCATCTTCATGTCAGTGATGAGCGGCTCCTTCTCTCGCTCTCCTCCTCCTGTCCTGACTTGGCCAGATTCCCAGGGTTTCTCACCCTCCAGCCTTATTCTTGGCTTTTGACCTACATTCATGTTCTGTTATCCCCTTTCCTACTCTGCTCCTTCAAAGCTTTCCACATTTTCAGAGCCTCTGTAGGGACTGGAGGGGGGGGGCCCTCAGAATTGGCTCAGAACACACCAAGTCACCAAGTTCTTAGCATAAAGGAGATTTATTACCCCAGAGGGGAAAGCAAGTGAGGGGGAGCTGTCTCTGCATTGGGTCAAGGCAAACAGCAAGCAGCAGGCATTTGTTTGTTTGTTTGTTTGTTTGTTTGTTTGTTTTTTCAGGAGAAAAGGGGGAAGTCTGTCCTAGGGTGAGTTAGTAAGTCCTGATTGGACATGTTAGCCAGTGAAATAATGAATTTTGAATGCTGAACTGTAGTGTTTAGTCTCGGGAATGAGTCAGTGGCCAAATAAGGGAACAGCTTTAGGAATGCAGTCTGACGGTTTAGCAGGCAAGAGAGAAGGGTAAGGGCAAAGCCTGTTTGCCATGCTTGGCCTGTTAGAGAGCCCTTCTTAAGTCGGTGTTCGCTATAATCTTCCCGCCCTGCCCCTTAAATCCTTACCTTTACATTGGTTTACATGCTTGGCCTTAGCTGGGTATTCTCTCCCATAACCCCAATAAAAACCTCACTTTTTCCTAGGTATTTTGTTTTGTGTTGTTTTGGTTTTGGTTTTTGTTTTTCAAGACAGGGTTTCTCTGTGTAGCCCTGGCTGTCCTGGAGCTTGCTTTGTAGATCAGGCTGGCCTTGAACTCACGGAGATCGCTTGCCTCTGCCTCCCAAGTTTACCCAAGGTTTGAAGACTCACTATGCCTTGTGTTGTTTCACCTGATTCTTTTAGTTGTCCAGAGAGAGTCTCGTATAACCCAGGCTGGTCTTGAGCTTGTTGTTTGGCAGAGGTTGACCTTGAATTTCTGATTCTCTTGCCTCCACCTCCTAGATACTGGGATTACAGATGTGCACCACTGTGCCTGAAGATAATGTTTCACTTGATTCACTTTGTCTCCCTAAGTGGTGATGAGCAGCTAAGAAGCTGTTGTACATGTCTTTTGTGTACTTCTCAGTGTCTAGTGGAGGGGTGAGCATGCCGTGCACATCAAGCAAGTGAATTAGACTTTCCCCCTGCCAGCTTGGGTTCTCTTAACTCTCACTGATTTCTTTGTTGTTGTTGTATTTTATTTATTTATTTAGAGACAGGGTTTCTCTGTGTAGCTTTGGAGCCCTGCCTAGAACTCATTCTGTAGCCAGGCTTGCCTCGAACTCACAGAGATCCACCTGCCTCTACCTCCCAAGCGCTGGGATTAAAGGTGTGCACCACCACCGCCCGGCTGACTTCTGTTTTCTGTATCTTCTCTTTGTATATCTTACTGATACTTGGGTAGGACCTGGTGTCTGCTTTTATGGACCAGGGGCAGTGACTTAATCAGAAAGGCAGTCTCACACCTGCAGTCCCAGGTTTGAGAGGCCAAGGCAGGAGGGTCTTGGGGTCAAGGCCAGCCCGAGGTATGATCTTACAATTAAAAGAGGAGAAAGAGGGCAGGGCAAGGCAGGCTAACCCTTGTTAAAATGAATGTTGATTTAGTCACCTCATTTTCAGCCAAAGAGGAAGATAATGATGCTGTGTGTCTTTGTCCAGCAAAACCCTCCCCCAGTTATATTAATCTTCAAGCAAATTCCCTGCCAGCCACTTTCTTGAACATCCAGACAACAAAACTGCCTTCAGGTAAGTCTTGGGGGAAGGCTTCCCAAGCAGACCCAGCCAGGAGAGCAGGTAGCTTACGCTTCCCCCAGGGCAGTGCCAACTCCTTGTCAGAGCACCCGTTGCCTGGTTTCACTTGCGGGGTAACTTGTTGATTGTTTGGTTCTGTTGATTTCATTTGCTTCCCCAGTTTTACCAGTTCCTGTTCTTTTCTTGTTTGTTAGCTACTTGGCTCAACTGGGCAGAGGTGAGACCCCGGTCTTCCTGCCTGCTGCTCCTGAGAGTTAAAAGGGACCCAGGGAAGGAGATAGTGACTGTTAGCTTGGACTCAGCTTCCTTGAATTTCTCTCATTCTTCTTCTTCTAGGGAAGTCAGTGGATAGTTGAATACTTACGGGGAACTCAACTCTAGATAGCCATTATCCCCAAATGCAGACAGCATAATTATTGAGGTTAACTAAGCCGCCTATGGACAATGTAGTTGAAAAACATTTAAGAAGTAAGCTGATCACCAAGAATGGTTGGAGTTAGACAATGGAGGAGCTTCAGGTCCCTAAAAGGGACTTAGTTTTTACCCACTCAGCAAAACAAACAAAAACCAACCACAAAACAAAACCCTTTTTTAGGCTGGGAATATAGCTGAACTGATAGAGTTCTTACCTGGTGTGCACAAGGCCCAGAACCACACAAACTGGGTACAGTGCCATATGCTTGTAATCCCAGCACTTGGAATGTGGAGGCAGGAGGATTAGGAGTTCAAGTTTACCCTCAGCTACATGGAGTGCTCAAGGCCAACATGGGCTGTATGAGACCCTGTCTCAGTTTTTATTTATTTTTATTTTTACTTTTTTTAAATTTATTTATTTTTCAGAGCTGAGGACTAAACCCAGGGCCTTGCGCTTGCTAGGCAAACGCTCTACCACCTGAGCTAAATCCCCAACCCCTGTCTCAGTTTTTTTATTTTTTATTTTATTTTTTTAAATTTTGTTGTTGTTTTGAGTTGCTCTCTAGCCTGGAACTCACTGTATCCCTCACACTTGCCTCCTAACTCATCATCCCAAGCACTAGGATTACTGATGTACAGCACCCTACCTGCTCAAATGAAATTTTCAAAGATTTAAGTGGGTGTCTAAAAGTTGAAGGCCAGCCTGGTATACATATTAAGTTCCAGGCCAGCCAAGCCTACATAGTGAGACCTTGGTTTTTTTGTTTTTTTATTTGTTTGTCCTTTCTGAGACAGGGTTTCTCTGTGTAACAGCCCTGGCTGTCCTGGAACTTATTCTGTAGGCCAGACTGGCCTCAAACTCACAGAGATCCACCTGACTCTGCCTCCCGGGTGCTGGGATCAAAGGCATGCACCACCACCACCACCACCACCACCACCACCACCACCACCACCACCACCCAGCTTTTTAAATGTGTTTTGAATACTTACGTACAGTGGCTTCTCTAGATGCTGGGGATAAAGTAGACCAGACAAAAGTCCTTGCCTTCCTGGAGCATAACTCAAGCAGAGAACTTAGACAAACATGAGCTATTACTGAGTGTGCCAGATGACCATAAATACTACAAGAAAAGTAAAAAGGCGAGGAGCGAGTTGCAATATTGGTTTCAAATTAAAACAAAATTGGCAGGTAGGCCTCTGGGGAGATGACTGCTGAGCAGAAGTGAGTCTGGGTGTGGGCGGGTTGTTCCTGGGAGGAGGATTAGTGCTCTTATGGACTCCTTCCAACCTCACTGCGATTACAAAGCCTCTTTCCTGTGTCTCTTCGTACCTCCACCACTCTCCCCAGGAGCTGGCCAGAAGCCCAAGGAATGCCTAGGACTCCTAGAATGTATGTCTGCCAACCTCCAGCTTCAGACCCAGCTTGCCCAACAACAGATGGCTATTTTAGAAAACTTGGAAGCATCCCTATCACAACTGGGTCCCGGGAGGGAAAGCAACAATGGTTCTTTCCCAGCCTTATGTTATAATCTGTTGTTAAATCACCTGCCCCAGTTCCATAAATGAACTGTGGAACACAGATGCTGTGTGTGCTTTCCTTTCTCTCCTCTCCTAGGCTGTGGGTGGAATCTGGCCATTATATTCTGTGTGTGTACTCAGGAATTGAACCCAGTGCCTTCTGCAGGCTAAACATACGCCATGCCACTGAGTAACACTCCTAGCCCCTAAGCATGTATATTCTACATATGATTAGTCTACACACTTCTAATAGGTACCCACTGAGTGTAAATCATTGCACAAGGCACTGTGGCTGCATATCATATATATTAGTGTTCTCAAGAGGAACAGAACCAATATGGTGGAGACATATATGTGAAGAATTTATTAAGCCAGTTTACACTGAAATAGTAACATCAGCTGCTTCAAGGCTAGGAGGCTGCAAATCCAATAGTTGCTCACACCTTGAGGCTGAGTGCCTTGGCTGTTCCTGTCTGATATCACAACCCTGGAGGGTTCTTGGGGAGCTGCTGGTCTTAGTCAACGACAGCAGCCTGGAGGTGCTGGTTCTGATATCTGTGAAGGAATCAGCAGCAGCAGCAACAACTGAAGAAATCAACTCCACGAAGGAGAAAAGCCAAGCTACCAAAGGTTGAATAATCTTCCTCTTGCCATTACCTTTTTAAATCTGAGCCCATACTTGAAGGTGCCAACCACATTTGGGGTGGGGCTTCCCACATATGTTAAGGTAATAAGGACAATTCCTTAGTTGAGGTTCCCTTATCAAGTGAGTCTAATTTGGGTCAGGCTGATATTAAAACCAACCATTGTAGCTGAAGTTTTCCTGGTCCTGCCTGGCCCATGGTTAGGACAAATCTCTCTCACCCGCCAGTCCTGCAGCTGCTTGGACTCAATCAAACACACAGAGACTTATATCACTTATAAACTGTATGGCTATGGCAGGCTTCTTGCTATCTAGTTCTTATATCTTAAATTAACCCATTTCTACCAATCTATACCTTGCCACATAGCTTGTGGCTTACCAGTGTCTGACATCATGCTTCCCATGACAGTGGTCTCTCTGCCTCAGCCTTCCACTTCCCAGAATTCTCCTCTCTCCTTGTCCTGCCTATAATTCCTGCCTGACTACTGGCCAATCAGCACTTTATTTATCAATCAGTCATCCACAGCAAACCATCCCAGATACAAGAGACAGCTCAGGGTTTCTATCATTTACCAAGACAGGGAAGATAGATAATTCATTGCTGTGGTGGTTTGGATGTAATTGGCCCCCATAGTCTCATAGGGATTGGCACTATTAGGAGGTGTGGCTTTGTTGGAGTGGGTATGGCCTTGTTGGAGGAAGTGTATCACTTTGGGGGTGGGCTTTGAGGTTTCCTATGCTCAGGATACTGCCCAGTGTATCAGTTGACTTCCTGTTGCCTGCAAGATGTAAGACTCTTGGATACTACTCCAGCACCATGTCTGCCTGCACGCCACCCTGCTTCCTGTCATGATGACAATGGACTGAACCTCTGAAACTGTAAGCAAGCCACCCCAATTAAATGGGGTTTTGTTTGTTTGTTTTAATAAGAGTTGCCCCTGGTCATGGTGTTTCTTCACAGCAATAGAAACCCTAACTAAGACAATTGCCCAAACTGAGAGGTCATCTGAGGGGATCACTGAGGTTAAGAGGCACATTGGGTAGTACTAGGATAAAGCTAGACCAATCTTGACCTCAGTGGAGAGACTGACTTCATGACACTATGTGAAGACGGAGTGATGGGGTGACATAGACAGGTAATTCCTTGGCAGGAAGTTTAGATGAAATCCTAGAAGTAAGAAATAAATCACTAGAAATATAGTCATCAAGGCAGACATCCATTGTTAGTCTCTGGCATCCACATGTGCTATGCACACACATGTGCTCTGTGGAAGCCTGTTCTCGGGTTCCTTGTGGCTTTACCCAGCAGGTCCGCATAGAGGATGATCAGGACCACGGGCCTGAGTGCAGGGGTCTGAGATGGTCTGCACTTGGCTGTGCTGGGGGAGGAGGTCTTTTGCTCCACCCCTTGGCGTCTCTATAAAAACCCTGGGCCAGAGACAGTCGGGGCCCGTTGGAATAGGTTCCAGGCCCTCTCGAGGCTATCCTTTATTTTCTATCTGTTTATTTCCACAACATTCTCCGCTATAAATCCTTCTATCTAATATTTTCTGCTGATCGCACTCAAGAAAACTCTGGGAAGCTGTGGGGGTGGTGGGTAAACGTCCCACAGTGCTCATAAATGCAAACATACATACAGGCACACAGGCAGTATCCAATAGTTTGCTCTCGATTGCTGTGATATATTGCTCTCTATTGGTTAAGAAAAGTTTTATTTCAGCTTTACAATTGTAGTCCATCATGAAGGGAAGTCTGAGAAGGAACTCAAGGCAGAGACCACGGAGGAGTGCTGCTTACTAGCCTGCTCAACCTGCTTTCTTACACAATCCAGGACCATCCACTCTGGGGTGACACCACCTACAATGGGCTGTACCCTCCCAACTAAATGGTAGGGAGGAGAGGAAGCCCTGAGTGAATGAAGTGTTAGTGAATGTATTCTGTTGACATAGGCATGACCATGTCAAGAACTCAGAAGGAAATGGTGAAGCCTCTTCTGGTCCATGTGTTGATGTTGATAGTGTATGCAGAAAATGTCCACCATAGCTTTCTCCCACCCTGGATGTTTATGGCCTGAAGACTGCTCCCCTATAGAGACTGCACTTATCAAGATTAGCTAAACCCATCTCCTTGATCCAGCTGTATACTGTAAACTCCCCCTTCTTGCTTAGCTGTATGTAATAACTCCACCTCCTTGTCCAGCTGTATGCAGTAACCCTGCCTCTCTGTTCACGCTGAGCTTCTGGGGTGCTGCACTCTCTCCAACAGAGAGCCCAACTTTCTGTCTCTGAATCTATCTGTACTTGTCCATCCCTCATCCAACCCAGTCAGGTTCAGTCCTTGGAGCCATCCTGGATGTGGTAAATCATTAACCAAGAAAAAGCCCCACAGACTTGCCTGCCCACAGGTCACTGTGATGGAGGCATTTTCTCAGTTGAGATTCACACTTCCCAGATGACCCTAGCTTGTGTCAAGTTGACAAAAAAACTAGCCAACACAATTGACCCCTTGTCAGCATGACACACAAACATATCACTATTCAATTATAACCTTTCCTTTCTAATTTGTCCCCAAGATGTCATATTAATATTAATATCAAAATATAAAACTTGATATAACTGTAAAATACCACAGTCTTTAAAATCATCTCTTTAAAATATCCAAAGTCTATTAATTATGGGCTCCTGTAAAAAGTCAATTACATACTTTTTTCTTTTTTAAACACACCTTAAAATAATAGTTCCCCAATATTTCCCCTTTTTGTCTAAACAAAAAAAAAAGAGACAGGTTGTAACTTTAATATAACAAGACTGTACACAATAAGAACAATTATCAAGTAAAGGTTACATTCACAATGTAATGAATTTCAGTTCATTTGTGTCTGGCAAATTAAAAGAAAATACTCCATTATCTATCCTATCTTAATGAATCTAAAGTTTTATACCATATTTACTCTCTGTCATAACTAAGGAAAACTGCAACTATAACAACCTAGTCTTCAACTCCATCAAAGACCCAGAAGGATAATATTATTTGAGTAAACAAAAAGTGCATTGCAAACAACTTCCAAAACTCCAGCAATGACAGAAACATCTGACTGCCTGGACAGTCACCCAAAGTTCCTTCTGTAACCTTGGGGCATCCATCCTCTGCCTTCAGGTTCATACTATCTGGCAGACTTCTCAGTGAAGCAAGAAATTTTACATACTTTCTATGCCAAGAAGAGCCAGGGCACAGTTACAATCAAAGGACCCCCCAACCAACCAACCAACCAACCAACCAACCAACCAAACAACCAAACAACCCACCCAGTGGCCAATGTCTGGGATTCACAATCTTCTGGGCTCCAAAGGGCGTGGGCAGCTCCACCCCTCTGCCCTCTGCAGCAAACACAGCTGGTTTCATAGGCTCAGGCCAGTTCTACTCCACAGCAGCTCTTTTCCTGGGAGTCATCCCAGGAACTGGTATCTACAATATCCTGGTTGCCCTGCTGTAACTGAGGCTTCACCTTCACCAATAACCACTCCTGGCCCCTCTTCTGGGACTCTGGCCCTGTCACACAGCACCAAGCCTCAGCTGCTTTCCATAAGCCCTTCGTGCCTTCAAAAGCAGTGCTACCTGGGTGACTTTTACACATTTACAAGTTTGGCTGCCAGCTTGAGATGTGGCGTTGGCCCTGCTGGACCACAGCTTCTGTGTGCCGACTCGGAAGAAACTTCCCAGAAGATTTTGCCTCAGTGGCGCTGGTCTCTTGTTGGTCAAAGCTGATTTGATTCTTCAGTCCCAGCTGGCCAGAAACTACATATCCATAATTCAAAACATCACATAACAGCCCTCCTAATCTTTGCTTCACTCTGAGACTTCACAAGCCAAGCCTCCATGGTTTGCGTCTCTTTCAACATTCCTGTCTGCCAGGCTCCTACCATAGCTCGTTACGTTCTGAGCACTCAAGACATTTCCTTTCATCCCAAAGTTCCAAACTCCTAGAATTCTCCCCAAACAATATAGTCACGTCTGTCACAGCAATACCCCACGAACCTGGTGCAAACCTGGTCTGGTTTGCTTTCCATTGCTGAGACAGACATCACGACCGGAAGGAACGTGGAGGAGAAAGGGTTTCTTTCAGCTCACAGTTGCGGTGTCTCATGAGGGGAAGGGAGGGCAGGCGCTCACAGCAGGAACTGTAGCAGAGGCCTTGGAGGAGCGCTGCTCACTGGTTTGCTCCCCTTGGCTTGCTCATCCTGCTTTCTTATACAACCCAGGACAGCTGCCACAGGGAGCTGGGCCCTCCTACATCAAGACTCGCCACAGGCCAGGCGGTGGTGGTGCACGCCTTTAATGCCAGCACTCGGGAGGCAGAGCCAGGCGCATCTCTGTGAGTTCGAGGCCAGCCTGGTCTACAGAGTGAGATCCAGGACAGG